GTTAGCAACTGGACAAATTGAATGCAGCGGTCAAGGAAAAGCGACCAGAATTGGTCGATCGTAAAGGTGTCATTTTCCAGCAGGACAATGCTAGGCCGCACGCGTCTTTGTCCACTCGACAAAAATTGATGGATATTGGTTGGGAATTGATGTTACACCCACCATATAGCCCTGATCTCGCGCCATCGGATTACCACTTATTTCGATCCCTGGACAACTCCCTTCGTGGTAAAACTTTTAACGACGATGACGCTGTAAAATCTCGCTTAACTCAGTTTTTGGCCGAAAAGGATCAGACTTTTTACGAGCGTGGAATTTTCAAGTTGTCAGAGAGATGGCAAAAGGTCATCGAACAAAATGGAAAATACATTACAGATTAAACTTCATTCCAAATAAAAAAAAATTTTTTATTTCATTGAACAAATCGGCAATTACTTAGTTGCCAACCCAATATATTAATGATCAATGAGGAAGCTTTCGATTTCGCTGTTCCAACACCTTTGTCGTGGGAGAAATGAGCCGAGAACGTTTCTGTGACGCTGCGCGTGCGCACAGCAATAAAAAGACCTTCGTTAACGACGTCGAACAGATTAGGCAGCTAGGAAAGCTAGAAAGTGATGTTGAAATCGTTGAAATCCGGTGACAATGATTTATTTGACGGGCATGGTCCGGGGGAAAAAGGCCCACGGTGCCAATTAACATGCCTACGTAGGCCAGGGGACCAGAAAACTTTAGAAGTTGGATTTCTAAAGTGACTTTCAAGAAACGCCCTTTTTTTCTTCCAGCTAGAAAATTCGAAGCTTCTCATCTAACCATTCAGTTCATTTTTATTTAATTAGCCTAGGTTGCGTCTGCTGCTCGGGTGGTCATTAGCACAGACTGCGGATTTTATCCAAATGAGAATTGTCTACGGTAAGTTGTCTATTTAGATGTACATATTTCTTCGCTTGATAAATTTAACACTAAACCTACATATAGCGGTCAAAATGAACGATTTCATACTTTTTTTCTAAATTGTTGCAATTATTATAGAGATAGATAGATAGATAGATAGATAGAGATTATTATTATTAATATAGAGACACTTTCGTAGAAAATAGTTGAATAAATTCCTTAAACCAAGCGTATGTTATAATAAAAATGACGTAAAGTTTAAATGAATTCGGTCTTATTGTTCTTGTAAAGTGTCACACGTCAGACACTTTTAGTGCTTGATATATATTTTTGTCAGAAATGCATGGAAGTTGCAGTCTAGTCATTACACAGAATACATTTCAAATTTTCGTCACTTTTATTATAATAAACCGCTTGATTCGAGCAATATATTCAATTATTTTCTACAACAGCGTCTCTACGATTTAAACAATTTAAAAATACAAATTTGCAGCCATTCATTTTCAATAGAATATATATTCTATTCTATATATATTATATATATATTTATATTCTATTCTATATATATTATATATATATATTCTATTCTATATATATTATATATATATTCTATTCTATATATATTATATATATATTCTATTCTATATATATATAATTTGAAATATTAAATAATGAATTTAACTGGAATATTGGAATTTGAAAAATACAGCTCGATTTGGACATTTTTAAGTCTTTTTCTTTTTCTTTTAAGCAGCACATTAAAGCCACGTGGATTATAATTTTTTTTATCAAATTTGAAGTCTAATTTTGATTAAAATCTATTAAGAGTAGTAAACTTTGATAGGATCTACGGGGTGTAACAACGCTGCAACAAAAGCCATAGTCGTAATAAATCTTATACCCTTGCATTATTAAACATGTTCCAATCGCGAGCGTCTCTTACAGACACTTAACGTGATAATAAGTTAAAGAGAAGGTGTTACGGCGGAGCTATCTATCCGCTTGAAAGCGGAGCTATTACAGTGTTAGGACAAGGAAGATGAAGCCGATAAATAATCCCACAGATTTGTCCGAGGTAGAAAGTGAAAGCTAATTATCGTGTCCTCGGGAAACAGGGCGCCAGAAATATCATAGAGGTAACTCCCAAAAGTGTCTTTGACCCCGCCTTCAAGGGCGCAGCTGTCATTCGTTGAAAATTTTCAGCGACGTATACGTCGTCTCAACGTAGCACAAATTTTTGTAATAAAATACCGAGGAATCTAATGATTTTTAACTCGAGAAAGATAACCTACGTCGCAGAGGCGCCTGCGAAAGACTGTTGATTTTTGTTAATTTTTCATAGAGGTCTAGTGATTTAAGTTTAAAATTACTTAAAATATAAAAAAATATAATATAAATGCATTTTATTTTTACAATAATGCCAAACCTTTAAAATGACTAGATTAACTTAAATAAATATCCATTGTTAGTATAAAATTGACGCCTTAGAAAAGCATGCGCCTCTGAAGCGTATGGTTATCTTTTACGTACGTTGTCATATGGTTATCTTTCTAGGGTTAATGAACAGTATTTACATCTCCTTGTATCCTAAGTACGTGCAACTTCGCGGAACTATAGACTTTTGGTATGAAGAAATTGGCTACAAAGGTTGTGCAATTATGACGAGCGTAGATTTTGAAAACAAAAACAAATGTCTAATCAGAAATGTGAACAGTATCTTAACCATATTAATATCACAAAGAGTTTTCAAGAAAGGAAATTTTCTTTCATTTCGATATTTATGAAATAAAATGATCAATGTCCTTTAACGTGTAGATTTCCTTGTGCTTTATTTGGTATTATTTCACTTCTGGCAAAGTTCTTATTTTTAATTTATCACTCGTATTAAAATTGTCGAATAATCGATTCGATAATCAATTGATCATCTTGAAAAATGTGTTCCCCGTGTCATTTACATTTGCAAATGCCACAAATGCATAGAATAATTTCAGTAATAAACAAGTAGACCGTTAATAAAGAATTTTCCGGAGTCCCATCAGTTGTTAATATCTCGACAAAAATAATAATGAAAATCCATTATTATATTGTTTCGATTATTCTCACAGTAAATGGTAATTTTTCAATCGCCTTCGAGCTCGCAATCAATTTCCCACGGATAACAACGACCCATCTAAACGAGTATGCAGGCGATCAATCCGTCCATGAAAAGACTGGGAATACGTGGGACCGTTCACCCAGCCAATAGGGTCCCATTTCTCACGGTTCTGGACCCGCCATGCGAGCAAAGCTTATAAAAGGGACCGTGAGCGTCTTGCAGTCAGTCAGCTCCGTGCTCTCTCGACACTTTCTTGGATCTACTTTACCTTTCTCAGCGTCGAATTTAGTATTTCACAACTCAGAGTAAAGTGCATTGCACGTAGAAGGTGCATAGAGAGTGATTTCGGTGCATTGTTATATTGAACAAACAACGAAAACGTTATAATAAACAGTGGTTCAGAAATCATTCATTTCAATGTCGTCCATTTGACGTTGCAACACATGTAGAATTCATTCGTTAATGTACCGAATAGTAATCATAATTATCGAATAGTAATCTTCAGACTACACTTCAGACTACACATTTTCGTTTAAAATAATTACAGAATTTCTTTCGAACTCCCTAATGTTATAAAGTTGTTAATTTGGAAAATATTGTTAAATAAATGTATGCATTCTTGCACCATCGTTGTAATTTATATATTCTGTTATAAATTAATTCTCTTCAATTTTATGGTACTAATTATTAATATATTAATATTATATATTTCATATTCTTGTAATTTTTGCAAGACCAATTTTCTCTCTTTATGGACTTTAAGGATATTTACTTAATTGCTCAAGAGGAAGCAAAGTTGAAATTTCGATGAGACGTTTTCCGTATATGTAGTTAGCGATTAATTGATGTTCGCAGAACGTCATACTTAATTTAATTAAGCACTAATTCGTAACACCTGGATTCGTCGCACTTAATGAGCGCGCGGCATATTCAAGATCGTTTTGATCGAACGTGTAAAAAAGCATTCGGAAAAATCACTCACCGGACGGATGATTCGTTAGCAGATTGTAATCGTCGATTTGTAACGTGCCGTTCGGCCCTGTTCTTGTGAACCTCACAACGTGGTATTGGTTATCGTTGACCTTCACGCCGACCTCGTCGATCAGATGGTTGTTCGTGCCCATGTTGTAAACGACGACCACGTTGCCCTTCACCTGAAAATGTTTTAACGTTTTTACAATCTCGGTGACGAGCGTGAGCATCTCGTTTTGGAGGAGCAGACTCGAAAGATTGATATTAAATTTAGAGTTTACGACGGTTGTTTGCCCTGTTTGTGAAGTAATCTTTCTTTGGATTCTGTCGAATTATGACAGTGGATTTATTAAGCAGTTCTTGGTGATAAATGATTTTATATTCGTAGCGATTCGATTTAATCTCTTTTTAATCCTTCTTATCCGCGGTCTACTTGTTGTTTGGATTTTGTGTTGATAAAGTAGTTATTCTTTGCTAAATGCCAAATATAGGTCATCTCTTTTGTTGAATTGTGATTTTATTTATCAGTGATATTAAGTATGAAAAGCGCATTCGGTTATTTCGTAGTCGTGAGTATATTATCAATGCGTGATAAAACAGAATGCTTGAAATATAGATTTCAGTTTCGAATTTATTGTAGATTTTAATATATAAAACCGATCACAATTCACGTTCCTTTTGTTTCTCATTTAGTGAAGTGATTATGTTAATTGAAATTGAAGGTATTAAAAAAATGTCACGTTATATTATATATACATTATACGTCAAATGACTACTTCTTATAATTACTTGGTGCTTATCGATCTATTAAGTGCATTCTGATAATCATTTTTCTTTTTTAAAATCTATTATCTTTCATATTATTACGTGCGTCATATTTGGCGACAATATTTCATGTTACTGTAACTAATATAATAACGTTTTTTCATACCAAATACAATATAATTCATATTTCTGATAATATAAATAACTGATGCATAATTGCTTGATGCAATGTAGATTGCAATTAGGAATAAATATATACAACAATAAATTTAGTTTTCAATGAAATGGCAAAGTCGTCATGCTATTTTAATATATAGCGATACAAAAATTATTATTTTCATGCTTTTCATATTCGATCTAAACGATTCAATTGAAACAAAAGCTCATTATCGTTATTAATTAAAATTTCGTGGATTTATTGTCATAGGTTCTATAAATCGGAGATAATTTTGTCACAACTTTATGAAATCGACTTTCTTCGATTACTTGCGAGAAAATGACCCAATTTTCCGTTCAGACTCAGAAATTATTCCTGATTAATGCTATCTTTAGGTAACAAATTACGATAAATCTTAATTTTTCAGATTCTGTTTAACCAAATATATTACTTTAACTTCGTGTGATTTTTATTTCTTTAACTAACATCAAATTGTTGTATTAGTACAATCCATGTCAGCACAGAAATGTGTAATTCGTATTATTATCTTTGCTTGTAAACAAATATTTTTATACTACGATGATGATATTTTTTTTCTTTAGTCTAAAGAATATAATACTGACA